GGCACCATGCAGCCGTGGAATTGAATCACATAAACCCTTCAATACCACCTTTACGTCTATTTGTCAGTAACGAGTGCTTAGGTGTTACCGCTATCTTATCCTAATACCAATTTACTCGAGGTGGTGATGTAACGTTGGGAAGTGGTATGAACAAAACCCGAAAAACTTATATTAACACTTTAACGCTCGAAATATGTTTGCAATATGCACTCACGCGTGTCTCACAGCAGACTGATACCGCCGACGTGATGAGTTTTGGTTGTATCAGGCGAAGGCTACATGGACACGTATTGAACATGTTTCAAACGGCAATAGCGCCTTCTGTGACGGGTCTAATACCGATGGAACTTATCTTGAAAGAGGACTGTGCCGTCTGAAGGGCGTTAAAGGGTTAAACTAAGCGATTTTATTTTTATTTTTAATAGGAAAACAAATGCGAGTTTAAAGCTCGTAATCGATAAACATTTTCCAGCCTAGAAGTTTGTTTCCTCAATACCACCTGAAAGAAGTTCAATTCCTTAGTAAATATTTTTCACGCACTCTCTTGCAACAATTTATATTGTGTTTTTTTATTTGTACTTTAAAGAATATCAAATGATGTTCATTTTGATTTGTTTAGGTTTATTGTGTTGGCTATTAACGGAATTTCATAGGTATATCTTTTTAATTTACCAGTACTCTGGAGTTCAAGAGCTTTTTAATCGAGCACCCCAAAATGTGTGTCCTGCTGCAACTCTTCCAAATGTTGCCTGCTGGAATCCGCAACCTGTTTCCTCGTAAGTTAATATAATTTGCATCACATGCTACATAATTGATTTCAGTAGCCATGTTGGTAATAAAATTGCTTATTTTAGAGCAAGTCAATCGAAACGATACGTCGGCACAGTATCAGAACTTCAAGCACTAACTAGTCGCTTGGAGGTGATGAATTCGCAGAACAATGGTGACCCAGAAGCCTTTGAGTTAGGAGCCCAAATGTTAGCTGAATTAAAAATGAGAAATGCCACTTCATTTGCGTCTAGCTCGTCGCGTGGGGGACCAAGTCTACTTCAACCATTGGGTCACTCATCCTCTGGGCAGATGTATGGGCAACCACCGATGGGGTCGCATGATCCCTGGAGAACTGCGAATCTTCCTGCAATGGGCGGTTATGGTGGCGATACTGCTGGTGGTTACGCGCCAGGTGGCAACTATCAATTTCCACATGAAAATGAAAGAAGAAAGTATAATACGGTCGGTTGGATTTATCTTAAGTTGTTATAAATTTTCATTGTCTATGCGTACTCTTCACTTAAAGTCAATGTTTATATATATGTGTTCTTGGAAGGCGGATCAATATCGTTAACCCAAAGTGGGAGCTGAAATTGCTGTTCAAAAATGTTGAAGAGAATTATAGAACTTATTGTCATGATGCTTCTGCGTTTGGAAATTTATGTTTCACAAACAGTTATGGCTACTGGAAAATTTGCGTTGATTAGGGTTGATTTCGCGCTACACCACTGGCTAATAGGGTTTTTTGAACGAATTAACAAGCCTAAACTGTGGACGCTTTTTTTTCATTTGTGTGCTAATTTAAAACGCGCTTGTTCTTTACTTATGGGAATAACAAAGCGCGGTCTATGCTATTGTATATCGACACGATTGAGTGCGCATTTTAATCATATTTCATATAATATAATTAAATACCAAACTACTTGAAGTTAGCATAAACATATTTGTGCATTTGCCGATTTGTCTTTTGTAGTCAATGCAAATCTTTTTTGATATTGTTGATATCTTTCCCAATTTCCTCCACGAATGTCATTTCATTTTTGTGTTTATTAAACAGAATTACGAGATGCCAGATCAATTTAACGTGGCTGCTGAGGAAAGTGGTTTTGACAGAGCCGGAGGCCCACCAACTGTGAGTACCCCATCCCTTCTTCCTCAAACACCGCCGCCACCACCACCACCACCAAGGCAATCATCGGTATATCCACCTTATAATGTACCTTTACCAATTGGCCGTGGTGCAGACACCGAAGGCAGTGGCTTTTATGAGCCTGGTCGGTCTGGCACCGTTCCTCCTATGCTAGTTAACCCCTGGGAATCTCAGTCAGTCCCACCTGTGCAACAGCTCCATTCTACTACTACTACCAACAACCCTGATCAGCAACAGGGCAGTGGGGATTTTGGTGATGGTGATGGTGATGGTGTTCCCTCTATATCTGAAGCTTTTTCTCGGCCTATGGAAATCGACCCTATGTCAACAACGACTTCAATCCCTCTTCCAATATCGACGCCTTCTACAACGACAAGAAGACCTACTACACCAACCACTACTAATAGAATTGTTACTTCGACTACGACAACAACAACAACAACAACCACTGCGTCACCGAGAGTTGAGAGAGTTAATGCAACCTTACCACCTTCATCAACTATACAACCGAGGGGTGGCTTTGATGATGATGAAGACTTTGGAATTCCGACTCCTGTGCCATCGTCTCAACAATCATCATCTCAGGTGCCTTGGGGTTCACAGGATCGCCAGAATCTAGGGCGACAACAATTTGAGCAAGAGGTGAGCTCTTTTAAGTTGATATTGTGAGGTACGGAGCAGTCCTACTTTTTCCTATCTTTACCCTAAGCAAGGTAGAAAGAAGATAGATGTCAAGAGTAGAACTGATTTCTATTTAGATAGTTATCTTTTTGAGATTGACAATAAGTCAGGTCAAATGAATTCAATGAGATGACAGGGTCCAGTATTCTGTGTTCTTACAGCCATGGAGCCCCAATGTCCAACCGAATCCAATGAAGGTATGCGTAAAAATATGCCTGAAGAAATCATTCGAGATACGTAGGTACAATTTTAATTCAGGAATATAGTAGATTTGATATTACCGAGTCATCACTGATGAGTAACTACCAGAAAATTTAATTGGATAATATTGGGCAACCAATATGATGTAGATTTTGTTCTCATTGTGGTGCGTGAGATGATCCATTATTTCTTTCCACGATTTTTTTTTCAATTTTAGACAAGTGGAACTTTCCCACCTGATATTAGCCAAGGTGGGGATCAACCCTTCACGCCCCCATTTTCTCAACAAGGTGTGGTTCAAGGTCAAGGCCACGATCTATCTCCTCCAGACTGCTCTCCTGAAGCAATGGCAGGCGCCGGTAGTGGTGTGGATCCACGATGTTTGTCAGGTGGACATATAGGCAATGGAATAGGAGGAATTGATATTGATAATGAAGATGAGGGCAGTCAAGGGAGAGGTAGTGGGGTGGAACCTCAAACGCTGTCTCAAAATGCTTCACTGTGGGATCTTGACTACCTAGGCTCCGGGGAGGCACCATCTGAACGTGAGTTTTATTTATATATATTCCTCAGATTGACTAGTTTATAGTGTGAACTATGATCAGCAGGATCTAGGAGGTAGCTTCAGAGATTGAGGACACATCGTGGCTATGCTGCAAATAATATTCTTGCCTGGCTTTAAATTCGCTGATCAAGAATATGGCCGGCATAATTCATGATGATTTTTCCTTGAAGTCCTGTTCATTTTTCTTGTAAAATTAGTTGATTTCTGCCTTCCTAGTATCTCTGGATTTCTGTCATTGTCTTTAGGGCTGGACGCTGAATCAGGTGGGTCTTCTCTATTTCCTCCTGTAGGTCACAATGGGGGGGCATGTTGGCTGACCGTGCACTCCTATTTTGTGAAGGTGCTTCGCCAGGCAATCGTGTCTGGTAATGAACTAATGAACAACTGTTAACTATCCTAAAGGCTATATATATATATATATATATATATATATGTTCCTCCCTCCTTGTGAAAGCCGAAGTCAACTAAATGGCTAATGATAAATATCATAAAGCCTGGTTTTTGAAATAATAATAATAATAATAATTCTTATAAAATTTGAAATATGTTCTTTATGGATGCCGGGATATCCACCATGGAGTTGTGTTTTGCTTTGTGTTTTTGAATACGTCGTATAGTGTTTAGGAATATGTTTCATTGTTCATCTGATGAATTGGGAACACCTTGAATCTATAACATTGAACAACCCTCATTCGACTATTCAGCCTTAAAACCTAGTAGATCACTTATGCGCCAACACATTTCTGTGGATATGTCGGCACCAGGCGTAGTGGCTGTCATGAGTTTGATGCCCATCACTCAATTGGTGGAATGGCCCAACGCACCATTTAAGTCTGAATAACACACAGAAAGGTTGAGTGTCAGAATTGGATGTTATCAGCAGGTAGCGGCCCTTCCGTTTCAAATGAATGTTGGAAAACGCTTTTCTTTATTCACAGGAGTTATAGGCTTTGAAAATTTTCAGTGGCTCACTTCACATTCCTCTAACAGCTCCAAACTCAGGGAGAGAGAAGACAAAGCTTAGTATGAGCAAGTCTTAACTCTTAATGCATAGAGTGCATCGAATAAGATTGATTCGATAGGGGGAAGAGTTCGACCTGTTATGCAGACGTAATAACGTTTTATACATCTATAGCCCCCGACTATGATGGATTTATTCCACCTCCCACTCTCGGCACAACACGCTCGCCACCATCTGATATCGATCGGCCTTACCAACCATCAACGACCAGCAAACCACAGAATCCACTTCCGCCACTAAGAGAATTACCCCCCGACATTTGGCTCCCAGTGCCGGATCTCAAAGCTGGCGACCCAAGGCTACCAGAATCCAGACTCTTTCTCCCTGACTTTCCTCCCCACCGTGGTCGGCCTATGGTGGGTGATAGGACGAACTCCGGCTTTTCAAGTGGCGTTAACACCTCCCTTCTCGCTGTGATTACAATCTTGGTAATCAACGCGATTTTTCGAAATTGAAGAGTAAGCCTAACAAAAACTACTGCTGATGCCGGTCGTGTACATACCAACACTAAAACCAATTCAACTTCGTGCTCTCTGCCTTTTCTCACCCTGATTATATTAATAAAATAATGATGATTCTCAGCCTCCTCCAGTCTTCCACATATATTGATTTACTGGTTAAGGTTACCACACATGTTTCCGACTAACTCCGACAATTACAAACTACTCTCCTGACTCTTTTCTTAAAATAACGTTCTCTCTTTTGCTTTGACTCTCTCACTCTCCCCGACTATATATGCACAATTGTGTATCGGCCTGACCGCTACCCTCCCCCTACCTCGCCTCCCCAACCACTTTTGTGTTATGCACATGTTAAAGAATGTCTGTGTGGTGTGTATGTGCGTGCGCGTGTGATGATGGGGACAAATCGTTGATTTTAAATGAAGTATAAATATAAAGGCTTTTTTTTCTGTGGGTTGCTGGTTTATGACTTTACCTTAAAATAACTAGTACATGATAAGGAACTATATATCACGTATTCTCTGCATCTGAACAAAGTTCACAGGCTTCATTCCTGCTCCTGCATTGGATTATTATTTATTGATTTTTTTCGGTTTTCGTGCCTGGAAATGGAATCCCGTCGCTACTATTGGCTAGCCAAGCAGTATTAAATTTCATAGTAAAAGAGAATAAAGTTACGCTTGAGTTAAAGTCAATCCGCATTGGTGATGATAATAGCAAATATGTATATGGGTGGTGACGCAGTTATTTATGAACTCACAATAATAACAAAAATGGTTATGAAATAATCAATAGTCTCTTCGAGCAGCCTAAAGCTGGCCATCAAATTCCAGGAGGGGGTTGGGAGTCTGCTTTCGACGGAAGACTCGGAAATTGCACTGAAATCCAGGAGCTTTTTAATTACTTATCTACGCAAGTGCTTATTGCATATGTTGGTTCTATCCACCAACCCGCAAGTTTAAGTTCGAACTTTCGACAAACAATTAGTTTTAGCAACTCAAAGATGCTGTTAATCAAGTCAAGTAAGATTTATCAAAGCCAAACAACGTAAACCTTCAAAAAGCCAAATTTCGCAAGCAACTTGTTCATTTGTAGCAATGTGATCATGATAGATCATGTCATTTTGATTTGTTACTTTTCGCTGACATGAGTAGATATATGAGGTTTGGGAAAATTGTTTAACACAGAGGAATCTAATTGAATTTATTCAGAGAAATAGTATATTCGTATACCATATTCTCTCACAAAACTATCTTCACATCGTTTTAAAGGCAGCTAAATGTTAACTCACACAAAAGAACGCCGATTAGTGTTCTCAAATTTAATTTTTCAGCAATGAGCGAAAATCATGAGCACCTGTCCTCATATCCACCTTATTCAATGCGCTAAAACTTTGCATTTGGATGTTCTTTTATTATTATTATTATGGTTGGCGGATATTTATTAAAAGTAATTATACCGGCTTTCGAAATGGGAGAATTTCAGTAAGCGTATCTTTCATATATCCTCTCATCTCAAGCCTAATCATTGTAACTTACCGAAGCAATAGGCTTTGCTCCAAAGTGCTGCAAAGCAAATCATGCAGCATTCAAATTTGTTCGTGTCATTACAAAAGACCCTATCTCGGTGAGCAGCTTTGACTTCCAGACCAAACCCAGAACAAATTGAGATCAAGCTGAACGCATGTGACCTCCTTCCACCGAGAAATCCCGGAACTTCTTAAAACTATAACAAGCATCGAGAGAATAGTTATTCATGACCCTTCACAAGGCCTTGAAATGATTCAAGGTGAATCAAAAGGAGATCTTGGAACGTAATTAACAATGTGCATACAAGAAAATGAAATTCAAATTTTTTAATTAATAATCTGCGTGTATCAAATATTTATCAAAATTTTTCTCCACTGTAGTGCAATAACTTTTCAGGACTTAGATTAAAGCTATGTCATCATTATAAATCCGTGTTTTAATTGGCCCTCATTTTGAATGCCGGTTAGGTTATTACAATGAGAACTTCTATACTTTTCCTGATTTAATCGTAATGTCACCAAAATCAATATTGTTTGAGTTCAGATTAAGATTTCTACTATGATTTAATTGAATGCCACATTTACCTGACGTTGTCTATAAGATAAAAATGAATATAAGTGGCAAAAACCGACCATTCAATTCCATCAACTGGTCTAAATGCTCCTTATATATTGGATACAAGTTTATTCGGGTACCTAGAGCTCAAACCAAGATAAAGTAATTCTAACTTTTATCCCATTTGAAAAAGTAGATAGCTCAATGCCTCCAAGATTCATCTTATTTGGCACTTTCATCCCATCTCTACTACCCCGCTATCTTGTGTATTCAGATGCTACTAATTAAATAGCAGTAGTAAATAGTATTTTCGTTGCCAAGATTAATAATAATCATTATTAAAATCAGAGTAAAATCAAGGAAAGCAATTAAAAGATAGCTTAATAGTTTAAGGCCAGTTGATGTCTCATGGCACTCTCAGTTTGGGGATTCATTGGGATCCATTGTTTTCTAGTGACATCCAGGGACAACTCTAAATCTCTGCCTTCAAAGAAATCATTTCCTGATACCAGCATATAGCCTACCAAGCCGCTGGTGCGCCTCAACAAATTATAGAAGTGATCACTTTCCTGGAGGGGAGTTTTGGAATATTGTGCAAGTTCTGCCTCTGGTTTGCTTGCTAACTGAGAAAGTTCGATCATTTTCTTCCAATGCATCATGAAGGGCTTGAAACACAGTCGGTGAGAAAGGGGATCAAGAATGTTGCTCATACGAGGGACCCTTGGAAGAGCATACAAGGATGCGTTTCGTAGCACCAAAAGGGGACCCCGTGCCGACGGAGCAATGGAAGCTGGCTTTACACTGTGTGATTTAATATCAAGTACTACAGCTCGATGAATTGGTGCGTGGATCTTGTTATCAATTAACTGATCATTCATGTCCAGACAGAAGTACGTTTTCAGTAGAAACGTTAGATTAGAGCCTATAAGATGGCTAAGTATTCGTACTGTAAGTTCTTCTGAAATCCCCACGTCGTCATTAAATCCACCAACCATATGCACATCAATGCATTCATCGCCATTCCTTCTGTTGAGCGTTGCTAGTGAATAATTAAAGAAGTCCTTGATCCGCTCGTGATCACTTTGATCGAAGTGACCGATGGAAAATCCCCTGGAGGTTGTAAGAATAATGAGGAGTTGAAATGTCATCTCAGATGTTCCCGCATAACGCGGAAGTGTGTCGTCAACGTCACTGGAATTGCATTTAGCCACGGCCATTTCATTCCTATGCACGTAGAGAATTTCTCCGCTTGAGGAGATTTGAACCTCCTCCAAACCCCCCAAGTTATTGTTTGGCACAGAACTGCGCGAGGCTAATTCTTTATAGATGACCTTTTCGACGTCACTTCCGATGTCATTTTTGCTCGAAAAGTGGAATTCTTTGCCTCCAACAAAGAGTACCATTTTTTGTGTTAAGTGCTCACAACCTGAAACACTGAAGCAGTTGAAGTATTATTAATCAAATTAACCAATGATCATATAAAATTATGATTAGCAGAAATACGAAAACTCACATTTTTAAAAATCTCTCTTGCTTTAACGGATCTAGATGAGTTCCTACAATCGAGACCAACAGTTCACCTTCAACAATGTTTTACTGGACGCAATAGAACTAGTCCATTTGGTCTGATAATGCACTTACCAACGCATATCCATCTGATTATTTATATCAAATGGCAGGCTTTATGATAGTTGACTTCAGACTTCACAGAGGGGAGGAAGATCGGTGAGAAAAAAGTCTAGAGGGGGGGGGGGGGGTGAACAGAAGAATGTTTTATAGAAGTAAAAGAGACAGACACAAAGGTAGAAAAAAGGTGAGGTGAGTACTGCGAAAATAGTCGAATATGGCATACAGTGAGGTGATGGTAGTTTGAAGTCAGAAGTCAACTGCCAGTTAATAGACTTTTGCCGTATGAATATACGTTGCCCAGGGTGCACCACGTGGAGGTAAGTCTATCGCTCACCCCTCCATCTTATTATAATGTAGAGCCGTCTACTAAAATGTGGGCCTGTCAGGGAGCATTTTCTCTTCTTCGCTGAGAGGCTCCTAATACGTCATAACCTTAGTTTCACTTTGCCCTTTAGTAACCAAATTGTTTCAAAGCTCACTCCTCACGAGTCGCCCCTGAACTTCTTACTGAGTTTAAATCAATGACATCCAGTTTCTAACTAGGTCATTTAATTCAACAGTTAATTGCATTAAGTTGGCACATATTGTAAATTCTACATCATGAGATTAGCACTTCTACTTATCTCTCAAGGCAATTATTTCCTATAATTTTATGTACTTAAAACAGTTTATCCGGCTTCATGACTCAATCACCACGCACGTTCTCTTCTGATCTAGCCTTGGGATAGCAAATGTGTCGGAAACGACCACTGCTAAATTAAGCGTCGATGCAAAAGAGCTAAATTGCGTCCCTGTCTCTCGTAAAGTTATGGGTTCTGGAAATGTTGATTTAAACATGACGGATTTTCGGATTAATATCCAAACCCTAACAATCTCCCACTTAGAGAAAAAAATCTATAACCCGACACATTTATTTATTTATTTATATCAAATGGCAGGCGTCTTGATGGTTATCATTAGCCCTTTAGTTGACTTCAGGCTTCACAGAGGGGAAGGAACATCAAATTAAAAAAATTCGAGAGGAGGAACAGAAGAGTGTTTCAAAGATGTAAGAGACAAACAAAAAGGTAGAAAAAAGGTGAGGTGAGTACTGGGACAGTATTCCAATATGGCATCTAGTGAGGTTATGGTAGCTTGAAGTGAGAAGTCAAATGCCGGTTAATAGACTTTTTTG